ATAAAGCTACACTATACATCACGAAACCTAGCCAGTGCACCATATCCTTACTGTTCTTTACTTTCTTTAGCAATGGCTTATAATTAGAACTGTTTTTAAATTCGTTGGGACACCTTTATTCTTGTATTTATCCTTATTGTTTTTAAATTAATTAAGAAATCAGACTTCCAATTATTTGCAGTTTATGATACATTACAATTGATGAATACAAATAATATCGAGTGAGATCACCAAACTATATTATACATAAACTATTAAATCAGATTATTCTTTAAGGGTACCGCTATTTTCATCCACATTTTTTATATATACATCCACTTTTAAAAATAAATTTTTATTATATTTTAAATCCTATGTAAATTTACTTAAATAGACATAAACAAAATTAAATAAAAATACATAACTCTAAATTGATCCGCAAATTTGTTTATTTTTTTCGTTAAATTATCCTAAATCTTTTTTTATTCTTTTAGAATTTGTGTTTAACTATAATCTTAATAGATTAGGAAAAATTACATGAATATAATTATAGGTGATGGGTGGCCCCAAATTCACGTGCGTTAATGAAGATTAACTAAAAGGCAGTATTAATGTTTTAAGGTAAGATCTATTGAATTTCCATGGTGGCTAAAGTTTTGAAATATTTGTCAAAAGTTTTTAGATTAGAGGTCTTCAATATCTGCAGCATACAAATTTGGTGAAATTCGGCTTAATTGAACTTTATTCTTCTTCCTTTTTTTTTTGCCTTTGTTATTTGAAGTATTGTAATACTCAGAATTTCAATAGGTAAAGAATTTAGTGAACAATGGGAGAGACGCTGTTAAAAAAAATATATACAGACATAGCAATATATGAAGAGAAATTTGAAAAAGTAAGGATTACCTTTTTATCGTATTTTGTTGTTTGATTTTTTTCCCTAATGCATTAAGGCATTAATGAGTTTTAGATTTTATTTGTTTTTTCATCTTGGTTTTAAGAATGTTTTAAGAATGTGACTATTTGATGTAGGTTAGGACCATATTTGAAATTTGAAAGGCCTTTACTGATCAATTACGCTCTCAAAATGGATGTTTTGGTAAAATATTGGTAAATCTTGAATGATGGTCTTCTATTAATAGCAAAGATGCAGAGACTTGGATCGAGTTTTGAATAATTGTTGCAATGTTAGAATTTCATCATGTGGAATTGTGTGATGAAGTACAACCAAAACTGAAATAAAATGAAATGGGAAGATTTTCTTGATCATGACATGTTATGGATTTGCAAATTGTCTCTTATCTTCGTAGTTCTTCACAATTTTTTTTTAATTTTTTTTTTTTTTGGGCTCTCAATTGTAGTGGGTTTTTTTTCACAAGTATTTAGAAAAGTTCCAATTCGTCTTTTATTTTGCATACTTACCCGATGTTTTAATTTTTATCTTATTTTTGAAATAAAATGAAATGGGAAGATTTTCTTGATCATGACATGTTATGGATTTGCAAATTGTCTCTTATCTTCATAGTTCTTCACAATTTTTTTTTAATTTTTTTTTTTTTGGGCTCTCAATTGTAGTGGGTTTTTTTTCACAAGTATTTAGAAAAGTTCCAATTCGTCTTTTATTTTGCATACTTACCCGATGTTTTAATTTTTATCTTATTTATTGTTAAATTTATTTCAATGACATTATTTGAAACTATACTTTTAATGCAGGATATATCAACCCATAACTATGATGTCCAGAATTAGTTATTTGATGATTATACAGATATGTTTACGACAAACATGGTACGTAATGATTTTTTTTTTAATACAATCATATATTTAGATACGAATATTTGATGATAAATAGATGTATACAATTAAAGAGGTCTTGATTGATTGTGTTAAAACTACTAGTAAGAGACACAACATGATTGTGTTATGAAAAAGTCCGACTTCAGCCAAGTTGGGAGAAAACTTTTTCTATATGACTGTGTACACGTAAATTGGCATACTAGTGGACCAATGCCACCTATTACTTGTAATTGGTACAAGTACCAACATTCATGTGCAGAAGGCTGGGCTACACCTTATCATGCTAGAATGCAATTTTTTAGGTCCCTAGTAGAAGAATGTGTAGCTATATAAAAAATAATTGACTTGGATAAACTATAAGAACAATTAATGATGACACTACTACTACTATTATTATTTTTTTATATGATAACACTATTACTATTGTTTGAACAATTACTTGATTGTTCGTTACTATTTAATTACCTAATCATATTATGTTTATCCGCAAAGATTTGGGCCTAATTTTGATTCACATTGATATATTCTTACAAATTATGTCTAGTATGTGATGCTTTCCACTTGCTATTGATGTGAAGCATTTTTTGTGAAATCCAGGCATGTTATACATTTTTAGCTAGACATATATGTGTTTTTTTCTACTTCCAATTTTGGATTTAAGCATACCACGAAGAGATAATTGAAGCAAACCAATAATAGTCCAAACACGATGAGTTCCAACTGTTACTCATTATACTTTTTCTAGAGACAAACATCCTCCTAATTTGGATGCTGATTTATGATGTTTTGCCTTTGATGAATTGAGTTTTATGAATAAGAATGATAAAATTTCTAATAAATATTGTTAACGTGATTAGCTGTTCATTTAATATTCAATAAATTCAACTTTGTTATTATGTCATTCATTTGGTTTAAAAGAGTTTATGGTTTTAGGGATTGTGTGAATCTATAGTGCTAGGGATGTATTTAAAATGGGATGAATATATAAAATTCATGTGAATATATAGTATTTAAATAAATGAATTTAATAAGAACAAGATTGGAATATAACATTGATGCAAATAATTTTTTTTTCAATTTTAAAATTTTATTAAGGATGAACTTATAGTGGGATGTACATATAAAAAATGTGGATGGAAATATCGGTACCCTTCTTTAATTGCAGGCTTTAACTAAACTATAGAATTATATTTTAAAAAACTTATTGATATATAGTTCAAAAATTATGCTGTAAAAGCTTCTTCTTTTTTTCTTATTTATTTATTCATCAAAATCAATTGAATAAACTTTCTCACATTTGAATTCCTTATTGAGCATTTATATATATTCATATATAATGATAATGATGTGTGTCAGTGTTGAATTAATTCTTCAAAAAAAAAATTTAAATAAAAACACCAATAAATATCTAAATTAGTAGTGTCTAGAAGTATACTCCGTATTCAAAATTACCGTACTTGCCTAATTATTCAACATAAAGTTTTCCTTGATTGATTGCTAAGCCAGCCGCCACAGCTCAACCATACAATATTTTCAATACACAACCAATTAATATATAACCACATATCTTCCAGAAGTTTTTCATGCCCAAGTCATCAATGACTGCGCACGTGTGAATAATCCAAATTCTCATTGACCGATCCTATCGAAGTCAATATTAAAAATTCAAAATCTAGGAAAAAATAGCATGGACGTCCCTCGAAGTTTCGTGTGTGTCGCACCTCAGTCTCCGTTCAACAAAACGGAGCATTGACATATTTGGACTATTATAATTTTATTTAATAAACACTTTTCAAAGAAAAGGCAACAATGGAAATGGAAAGAAATGAAAACTGGGAATCGGATTCCTCCTTAAGCCCAAAGATTTCAGTTTTCTTATTCTTGCTTTTATTCAAATTCTGGTTTATTGAAACATCGAGAAGGGTAATAATTTGTATTTTTAATAAAAATTAAGATTATTATTCGAAGATGAGTTAAAATTGTGCACTTTGGATCAAAATAGGAGTGATCACATCTAGTTCGAGTGATACTGAAGGAAATCAAATCGAATCGAATATTAATGAAAATCTTAAAAGTAAAATCATTTGGTTTATAGAACCGAAAAGGAACCAAACCAACCGATTCCGATTCGTTTATTTATATTGAAAAAAAATTATAAAAATAAAGTATGAAATTACTTTTCAAATTGAAAAAAGAGGCAAAAATAAAGCATGAAATCACTGTTATTCTTGTAATCTAAAATGTCAAAAATCAATTAAATAAGGCAACAAACAAAAATCCACTCCAATGCTCAAGATGAACTCATAAAGGCGAAAAAATGATAAACTATTAAACACGGCATAAACGATAAAATTTGGATCGAAAACTAATTATTAAGAAAATTCATATAACAATAACCTGATTGTCTATAATAATTCTCAATGATCTTTATTCTTGATGGTCGGCTACTTTGAAAGTAACTAGAAATTTGAATTTTTATGAAATATTGAACAAAAATATTTTTTTTATTAGATTGCATTAAAACTATGAATTTGTAAAGTATTTATAAAATTGTTTAGATTTAAATATTGATTATCATTAAAGGAAAGAACAAGAAGCGTATGAAAAATAAAATTTTAGCGTGAAATAATTTTGAGATCTGATGTTCAAATATCTTAGTGCAAGCAAAAAAAGAAATTCAGAATAATCGAATTCATTGATGGTTCTCAAGGCAATACCAAAAGTCGGACAGAAAACTGATCGTTTCTTGATTCATGATCCAAAAATCAACCCATTTAGTAGAGAAATCAGAGCCAAACCAACTGATTCTATCTAGTTCCAATCTGGTTCGACAAGGAAAAAAAATATGTGCCACTCATAGATCAAAAAGTTATTAAACAGATGTAAATGCAAAGTTTTGAAGATTGGGACCAAGGTGCAGCACGTGTCAAAGCTTGGGAACCTCTAATGCTATTTCCCGTATGTACCAACTACAATCTTTTGTTGCGGGTCATCCACGTAATACCTTTCTGATGGAAACTTCTTGTATCTTTTCATTTCCTTTAACATTCCTATTTCCCATCAAATCTTACATTTTTTCTCCATTTTATATTCAATCTTATCTCCTTCCGAGAAACCCGTGTACCCTAAGAAATCCTACTTCAATACCTATATAAATCTGTTAACTTTAAGAGAACCCTAAAACTTCAACTAGCTAAGGATTTCTTGCTCCTGATTGCCCTTAAGAAATGGATGCAATGCAAAGCGGCCAAAAGAAGACGACTAAAAGCAAGAGGAATATCAAAAATTCACTCAAAGTTGTGTATATTTCCAGCCCAATGAAGGTGAAGACTAGCGCGAGGAGATTCCGGTCCCTTGTTCAAGAACTCACAGGAAGACACTCTGATGTGTCCCGGATTATGGAGTCAAATGGATGTGATGATTTTCAAGAGTTCGATGATCATTCTAATGGAAGTTTACTGCCGAAAACTGTGATTGATGATTCGAACCGACGCGAATCACCAACGAGTTCAGATTCGACCCTTTTGGAGTCTGCGGACAACGACAATGTATTCAGGTCTCAAATGGAACAACAATTTGCGGAGATTTTTTCTTCCGATTTGTTTTTTGATTCTTCTCAGTTGAATGTTTTAGGAAGTTATGAAGATTTGTGAATTTTGTAGACTGCATATTTATATGTATGTATATATTACAAATTCATTTGTTTGGATTTCAAGATATGCCTAGTTTACATATATCATAATTAATTTACGGAGTGAATGATGAAGACATTTTACTAATGTTTTCATTTCCTGTGTTTATTTTTGGTGATGAAGACAGGATAATATGACCGTGTGTAGCTTATAAAATGTTACTTATTTTCATGTCAAAATAAAGTAAGTTATATCTATAATTTAAATATCACATCAAGTGAATTATTTTTTGGAGGATTTTAACCTTTCTATAATTTAATTATTTCAATAATATCTTATTCTTCATTTTTCGATATATAATAAATACTACATAATTATTGTCATTTATGAAATTTGTGTTATTAATTCTTAATTAATTAACATTTACGTTAACTTAGATTTAATGAATTTTCACTTGCTGAATCTTGAATTACATGGATTTAGAGTTATTATAAATGAATTCATTTATATTCATCTATCTAGAAATTTTAATGAGTGTTTAAATTTATGTATTAACAATTAATTTTTATGGATCAAATGTAATATAAAAAGATTGTTTATTTATGGTATTTCATTATAACAAAAATTTTGAATCATAGAAATTGAATTTTGAAGGTACAATTTTCTTCTCTTAAATTTCTATGTTAAATTTTATTTTCTTTAATTTGTCCGAAACTCGTTAAATCCTTCAACAAATTGGTACTAAATATTACTTTTACATCACTTATAAAATATTTTAAAATAACGTGCAAATGCACGTTCAATTTTGACTAGTTGACTTAAAAGTAGTTATAATAAGTAAAGCTTGGCCTACCATTTAAATCGGGACTAGATATGAATAAATAATACTCGTGTCAATTACATAATGAAGAAAAAAATAAAATAAATAAAAAATAAAAAAACCTAAGTAAGATACTTTCGGTGACTGTTAAATTTTTCCTCCCTATTAGGACAAGAAAACGCAATGCTTACGATATTATATGCAAGTTTGACAAGTGGTAATGGGCCATATCACTGGCCTGATTCTGGTTTGTAAAAGCTGCTCGGTCTTGACCCAATATTAAAGGGTGCAGTACTGAACCGGGCCGATCATGCGACTTTAGGGAGCTGAACCAAGCTCAAGGTTTAGAGCCGAAAAAAATTTAATAGGTCTTTGAACCGTCCTAGTGTAATCCATTGGCACCCCTAGAAAAACTTTGAAGAAGAAAATTTTGAATTAGTTGGAAATATATTATAGCGATCAAAAATTAGTTGTTAGTCCTATATTTTTTATGACGAAATTGAATTGGCTGTTGTGAGTGGGTACCATATTAAAAAAAATTGTCAAAATATTTGTTGATATTTAATGACAATGTAATCAGTTATTAGAAAACAAATAATATAATAAATATTCAACGACCATAGATTCTGATCGTTAATATAGTAAAACAACAACTAATTGTATCTCTTTGTTGGAAGTAGACAATTTTGACATTCAACTACTAGTACTATTGAATCATTAACGGTGGCATCCAACGACTAGATATTTTTAGTTGGTGAAAGTTGACAACAACCTAGTTACCAACTCTAATTTGACGCCAAATAGCTTTTGACATTTAATGACTATACTATTGATCGTTGAGAAAGATTATGCAGCAAAAAAAATGTTTTTAAGTGTTCAAAATTTAGAATTAAGGTGATTATCTATTAGCGTAAAATTCAGTCAAAAGTCCTATTAAAAAAAATTCAAATCGGCTATGTCTTATGTAACAATTTTTTGTTAAAAATATTATTTGAAAAAAAATGTTAACATCTTCCTAATGTCATTGATTATTTTACCATGAGCATGTTGATAATACCTTATATATCATTACGAAGGGAAAAAAAAAAAAAAAAAAACCCTCAGCTGCCCCCAACGATGCAAAAATTCCTTATCTCGCTAGCTTGGTGGGACGGGACGGGACAAAACAGACCTACTTGGGACGGAGCTGGACGAGTTTTGAGTGTTTCATACGAGGCAAGTGCCCCGAAGTCACCCTACTTCGAAATTAATTGGGACACGAGAGAAATGCGGAAGAAAATCCTTGGCAAGACAGCACACAGTATGGTTGACCTGCACCTAATCTATCCCATTGCCAATAAGAGTAAGAGCCTGTTTGGGAGTGATTTTGAGAATTGATTTTTTGATTGTTAGGAGAAAAGTGGGGTTCACTCGTGAGAGAAGAAGTTAAATATGATGGTTGGAATAGTGAAATAACGGTCAAAAAATCAATTTTTTAAAGCAAAAAATCGCTCCCAAACAAGCCCTAAATGTACCCATTTTGATAGAGCTTGGCTTCATCAAGCACTAAGGTAGTGTTTGATTGGGTCATTTTTCAAGGAAAATGGAATAAGTTTTCCATCTTTTACTGAATTAATGGTGTTTGATACCATTTATTTTTCATGGAATTGATTTTCTTGCTTTTGTTGCCACATAGATATTTTCCATTTAATTGAGGAAAATGAATTCTCACCAATATATGGTGAGAATTCATTTTCCTGGTTACTTTAGCAATTTTTATTATTATTATTATTTTTTTATTAACAATGGAAACAAATTCTAAAAATTATTGTAAAAAAAAATTCCCTTTAATTGACAATTTTTATGTAAAACAAAGTCAAACGAATAACAAAAGATAGATGATTTTCTTGAATTTTTTATATTTTATGTTTCATTTTTTATTTTTTTTTACAATGGAAACAAATTCTATCATCAATATCAGTATATTTTATACTTTTAATTGACAATTTTCATGTAAAACAAAATCAAACGAACACCAAAAAATATTTTTACTTTAACATTTTCCATGTGGAAAATTATACCAATCAAATACAATAAATTGACAATTCCTAGGAAAACAATTTCTAAGTAATTCAACTCCCTGAAATTCATTTTCTTTCTATCCAAATTTTATCTTCGTAATCAAACAGACCCTAAGTGTACAGGTCATTAATGCACTAATATTATATGTTGCAATACAAGGATATATTTCAATACTTACTTAGAATGCGAATAGAAAAAGTATTTATAGAAAAATATGCATCACATATCATTATTGAGGTATGTAAATATTCTCTATATTCCTCTAATACATAGGACAGACAACGATAGGTACGTAAATATTCTCGAAGTCCAACTCATGCGTACTAATAGGTAGGTATGAACACGTTACAAGGTAAGCACGAGGCAAGATGGGATGAGATAAGGAATTAAAATACCATCCCCATCAAGGTAGGGAAGGGGATTAAAAATTCCTCATTTATCGTCCCGTTTGATTATTTATTATTTTTGAAGTTCTATTATTTATTTTGTCAAATACAATTTACACGAAAAAAATAAATAGATTCAGGCGGTGATCCCTCATCCCATCTAACAAAAAGAATGGTAATCCCTTGTCTTATTCGGGGCGGGACAATTCTGGTTGGGTCAAGAATGGGTTTTTCTTAATCCCTACTAAATTAAATAAAGAGTTGATACCAGTGTTATTAAACTCGAATAGGATCGGCCAGTTTGGCCAGAAAACGAGTGAATCGAACAATAATTGTTAAATCGAACTATGGTCCGAGCCAGGTGCCTCATTCTTGTTACTGTTCCTGCATGCCTTTGAAAGCACATCTGAACCTCCGTTTATTTAAGGGATACTTAAACAAATACACTTACTTTTGGGGTCATTTGAAAAATCATGACAATCTTAGGTTAAAAGGCAAATAGTTGATATTGAATGTATTTTTTTAAGCTTTTGCCTAAACAAACAGAAACAAAAATATTTCTCTTCCAACTTGAGAAATCAAGAAAAATCAAAGGAAAAAAGAGTAAATCTTGTTAAGAAAAATGTAGGGAAATCTGAATACTTAATGAACTCCAAGGCACAAAAAAACGTAATCTTTTAAGAGATATTTCTCCCCTATCCACTAAAGTCACAATTGGGATATGATAGAAAATTTCTCTCAGGATACAATGGAGACGTTTGATTCAAATTGTGACTATTTGATCAAACCAAGAAGACACTCGAAAATAACTGATTGATGCCAAGAGAAAGAAAGAAGAATAAATTTTTTTAATGTGTTTTGCAAACGAGAATTCGCCCAAAATTTATAGAAATTGAGGCAACCGTTTGAATAGGTCGATCCCTGTTGCGCAGCGGCAAACACTAGTCGGAGTGACAAATCATTCGCAAAACAAAAATAAATACATGCAAAATAATGAAAAATATCTAACAAATCTTGCACAAACAATATCAACGGCAGCTTCAACTACCTTTTCTTCAAAGTTTTCTTCCTCAAATCTGCAAATAAACAACCAAAATTTACAAATATTTATGTTTTGGATTTTTTTGTTTCAATTAGTTTCCAAATCTACCATTTTAAGATTATTTAATGCTCTCTTTCTGTAGATTGTAATAGCAGCAGTCATTATAAGCAATTTCGAGCCAAATAAACTTCACTTTGAAAATCCTAATCATCTTAGTGCATCGTTCTTGTCACTTTTGTGTCAATTTCATGATTAGATTTAGTTTTGATGGTTTTGATACTATGAGTAAAAAATAGTTGAAAATAACATTGTTGATCTTGAGAGGAAATGAATTATGTAAGGACCCAAATTTGTTGTAGAAATGAATATGAATCGCCACCAAAAATTTATTTCCAAGAAACCGTAACAAAAAGTATTTCCATGCCTTGCTTACAGTTAATTGATTCAAATATTTGTTCCTGTAATTCAAATGAGTGGCCAAGGGATGATTTTAACAATTGTCAGCCACCATCCATTTTTCTTGAATTCAAGGCAGAAATGTAAACTTTTTATTGACACCGAATATTATAAATCCCAAAGTTCAACATAAATATTTGAAGAAATGAAAATACTAATTAATTTACTAGAAAGTGGACAATTACATTTTAACGAACATATCCGAGAATTTAAATTAAACATAAAATCTATTGCAGTCAATTTTAAAAAGAAATAA